GCATAAAAAGCACTCAATCTAATGGCTTATTTGATTAAAATATGTATTTTAGATATGATCAGACTTAGATGTCCATTTTCAAATGTTCCAAGTCAGCATGGTTAACCCTCACCCATATTGCATATTTGGGTGGTATGCAGGGGGGCAGGTAATAATTCAAACAAGTGCTGACATCTTTGGAGTCATTCCCATCTCCAGGCTGTAAGGTATCACATATCTCCAGTACTAGTGTGTCCTTTCTGGTTATTGCTCAAGCAGTAAGTAGCCCTCTTCCCTTGGCATGCTTAAAGAATGTAGTACCAATACTTAGATGAACTTACTGTTTATTAATTCATCCACAGACATTTGCACATTCTTGGCAGTTTCAAACATTCCCTGCCATATGCTGGAATACTTTTCCCAGCCCAAGTGCTAGAAGAGCTCTACCTAATTGCATGAAACTTATTTAGAAGAAAATTCAGATTGTAAGAAACTTGCTTTTGCATAAAAACTAAAAAACAAAAAAAAAACCAAAAAAAACCCGAAACCTTTTCTACTTAACAGAAAAACATCACTGGAACACTCATCCCTAGTTGCTATAGACAAGAAAAGAGTACACTGATAAGTAAAGAAAATATTTCAAGAAATATATTCACAGTCTACCACACAACATATTACAATAGCTTAGGTTAAATTTTCAGTCTTCAAGGTTTCAAAGTACAGCTGAAATTACTAAATGTGCAGAAAATCCGTATACGAAACATTTGAGACAGGGTATTTACCAACGATTTGCATGTACATGAATGACATTACCAGGTAACATTCTGCTTCTCTTCAGCATGACACACATAAGATTTTCTTTTTTAAATTTCAGAACGTAAAAAATTGTAACAAAAACCCAAACAAATCAGAATAAGCTGCAAACATACCTTTAAAAAGTCCTTCTTTCTGATCAGGCATATACAAGTATTAATTATTTGCTTCTTAAGCATTTCATTATTTCAGGAACAGAAAGCACATGTTTATCTACTTATGAAGAAGAACAGCATGCCAACATGTTGTACTGCATGTCTAAAATAAATATAATTTGTTTCCATTTTTGAAAGATCACAAAAGCTGAAAATATATTTAGTTGCATTTTAAACACAGGTCTATTTACTGCTATTATTAGCTAACTATTCCAAAAGAGAATGAAGTAGTTTTGTTGTGAATTATAGTATTGCTGTATTTGTCGTAACTAATTTGTCATAACATTTAGCAAATGAGATAGGTCAACCTACACAAATTCTGTGAAATCTGAATAAAGGTATATACAGAAATAATTCAAACTTATGCCCTTCCATTCAAGTAACACTTCCAAATCAACATAGGACCTTTAAGAAGAAAATTTTGCCCTGAGCTTCTTTACATGACCATTTACCTTATCTGTTAGCATCACTGTTTAACGAAGGAATTATCTCTTATAAATTCCTCTTAGTTACTTTACAGAAAACATTTTCCAACGTTTCCTCTAGCTGCACTTAAGAAAGCAGATACTTCACAGCACTTACATTTATACGTTAATATTTGTTACATATGATACATTGAATCATATTTCAATCAGTGAAAAGCAATGCAGTTGAAAATTCTAGTGCAAGAACGTGAATGAAATGAATACGAAATGCATAACATTGAGCACAAAAGAACACATTAAACTAATGTGATACTCAGCCACTTAATGCAAAGCAAAGCACTGAAGCCAGCTGCTGGAAGAGTCTTAAAGAAATGGAACTGAATAAATCGTGTTAATGATTTTGAAAGCTAACGTGCAATGTCTGTATACTGTATACTCTATTTCTTCTGACAGTATCAAGGTGTGAAGAGCCCATGTAGGTAAGGATTGCTCCCAAGGGCTAAACTTCACAATAGGTCAATAGACTACCTTGAAATCTTGGGAAACTTAACATACAGAAATACAGGCCCTGCTGTTATAACAGGATTACCACCTTTCTTCCCTGAGTACACTAAGCCTAAGGCCATAACACAATCCTGTTTAATCACTTCTGGTCACTGCAGTTTAAATTTGGCTCTGTTAAACATTACTGATCATTACAAGGGTGACAGAAAATGGCAAAACCTCATGTCACCATGTCATTTCAAGAAAAAGATCTAAATTAGCCCTACTCACTGCAAAGCTATTCTAAGCTTCTATTCCTTTTTTTTTTGTGTAAAAAAGCCCTTTCTAGCTTTGTTGACAGCTACTACAGTGAGCAGTCACAGAGATGATAGTGTTGACTCCATAGAATATTAAAAAACTTAGGCCTGGTTTAGAAAAATTCCATGCAAGCTGTGTACACTCCCTTTCCACTAGCTCCAAGGCACTCTCTAGTATTCATAAATAGCTGGAAGTATGAAGGATGCTTCTCTGCTGATTCTTGTGTGCTGTGAATTGCTCTAACATGCTTGGGGAACTCTTGAGAGGACCACATCTCCCAGTCAGGAGCTTCCTTGCATCATCAACTCATTGAAAAGGAGCTGGAGCACAGCAGAGGACTGGGTCATACAACTTTAGACTCTTAACTCAGAAAACATATTCATCTAATGTTCCAAGTTGACAAAAATAACCTTGAATGCTTACGGAATGACGGCTTTCTACGCTGTCCCAAAGCAGGCCCTACTGGTCCATTTTCAGTGTGACATGTGTTAATTCCACTTGGCAACGAGAAGATTCAGCTATATATAGCTCCAGCATGACTTTCAACAGCTGAGTCCCACAGTCAGATCTACTAGCACATAAACATACTGGCTTTAACTGGCATTGCCCAGAGTATGTCCTCTCCCCACTCAGCTGTTGCTGCAGGATTCTGTTGATACAGTTATAAAGCATGCTTCCAGGTGCACTGATGTGCCCTGTACTGCAGGCATTTTCTGCCTCTTTCCTAGGTAGATAACTGTAAGACTAATCTAAAAGTGAAATAAGAGACCAGTGATTATATTTCAGGAGAACACTTTAAGACGTGCTTAAAACTTTGATTTAATTTCCAGACTTCAAAAAGTCCACCCAGTTAGAATTCTGAACTGGTGTCTACTGTTTTAATCCAAGTCTTTGTGAAGACACCGGGGGGAAAATAAAATATCAAGATTTTAACACACAGTAGAAACAATATTTTCTGAATGATAATCATACCAAATGGCAATCAATGCTCTAAGAAATGTACCCTGTTCCTGCTATAAAGTCTTCTTTTACCCCTACCAAAACACATAAGCATGAAATGAGACAAGCAAAACATATATAAGACAAATTGCATTATTTTTAACAAATCGCCTCTACCACACATTCCTCTACTATTTCTTCTGCTCTTCTTTCCTTCCTGTTTCCTCAAATTTAGGTTTAGAAAGATTTTCATAATTAGGCTTCTAAAGGTAAAACATAATCAGGAAAATACTAATGAGTTTCCAAGAATCAGCATTTTAAGGGGCAGTATAGAAAGCTACCTGGTGAAGTGGCTTGCTTTAAATGTTCCAACTGGAAGGAAGTTCATATGTTGATGGCTTTCATTCATGCTTAAAATTGTTTTAGGACCACTGTAGGAACACTAGAGTTCCTCTTCACTCACAAAAGGGTTACATACAGATGTATAGAATAATAACAAAAAAAGAACAATATAGAAGTTCATTTGGTTATGAAAAGAAAGTGTAACTAAATACATTTTCTCCTAGTTCATTGAGTCAAACAGTCAGTTGTTACTGCAGCAGTTAATTTTTAATGCTGAAATTATAACCTGCTTTGTAATGTATCACGTGGTCACTAACAGTACTAAAATATTTAACAGGAAGCATTGGAACTATACACAAAATTGTTTTATATGAACTCTCCATGAAAATCCCCAGGTTTTTTTTGTTTGTTAAGGCCAAAGAATTTACAATCAATAAAGCATGTAAAACACTCCAAACACTCACTGCAAGGCAAAAAATTTTATTACCATTAAGTATTTAAAAGCCTATAATTAATGATGTTTTATTCCATTCTAGCTTTCTCAAACAATTTATGCAGGTACAGCAACTATTAAATTCTCATTCTATGATACATAGCACTGATCTTTCTAAATTCACAGCTACCTCTGTCAAACCTATTTCATTTTACTGTGACCAGTTACACGTTACCTCAAGAACCTGATATATTCACAGATCCCAGAGCACAGAAACACAAAAAGGAGCCTTCTCAAAAAACACACCTTTAGTTCCACAAATGGTGTGCCTCTTCTTTAGGGGAGCATGGAGGTAAAGCACAAAATCCTACTCCACCAAACCACTGCAGCACCACGTCATCACCAATAGTTACATAAAAAAGGAATAAAGCAGATGCTTTCAAAAGAGTAAGTAAGTGAGGTAGTAGCAGGCATGAAACACTGTGTCTGAAGTTTTCACACCCTATACATATCTATATTTTCCACATCTTTGGTATTTGCACCTTCAGCAGACAGACCAAAGAGTCTAACAGTTGCAATTGTTGGGTTTATTATTTTTTTTTTTAAAGAAAAATCTGAACAAACCACAAAACACAACTTGTATCTCATGTCTGATAAATTCCATAGTTTGGTACTATGGAACTGAAGGAAGGTAAGACTCTAGCAAGACCAATTATAGTATCTATAATAATCTCAGAAGCTTCCTGACTAATCAGTAATAAGCCAATGTGCCCTCAAAAGTGACAAAAAGGTTAAACTCCACAGTCTTATTTATTTAAACACTAGGTGTAGTTCAGTACACCAAGTTCCAATTACCAAAGCTGCAAAGCTACCTGAACGATAAGGCCAAGGGGCAACTTTCTGCAGAAGTTATTTTTCCTATTCTAGTACAATTGAGCTCTAGTTTGTAGACCATACTCCAATACAAACAGTACAAAGAACATTTAGTCATTCTCTGTCCTCTAACCTGCAATCATAAATACTGCTGCGTGCTGACTATGAATATAAATAAACATAGCTATAATAAATATAAATAAATGATATACATAAATATAGCTATAAATAACTACTCACCAGATTCTCTTCAAACCATTCCCGTATACACATTGCTGTGGCCCCTGGAATTTGATTTCGCAATGCTTCCTTCTCTTGAGGATCCTCTAGCATTTCCAGTGCCACCTTCAGATCTTCCAGGAGATGCAAAATTTGAAATGTACCCAAGTACACTGATGGAGCAGGTGACACAATATCATAACCACCATTAGCATACTCTGTAGCTGACTTTGTGCCTAAAACAAGCGAAATCAGGAAAGATAATAATGTTATCTAATTGTTTTGTAAGTGATAAATAGATAGGTATGACACACTACTTTCTGTCTTTAGATGCTGACACATAGCAGTATTTCAAAATATTAAAAATACTTGAGTTAGTCTCTAGATAAATAGCAAACACAGGAGAATTAAATGTGAGACCTATGTACAAGCACATTAAAAATAGAATTCTGATCTAGAAAACGTTTGCAATGCCTGTTAAATTGTAAATGCCAAAAGCTTACCAGAAAATCACCTGTAATGTGTCATGGTTACCATGAGATGTCACCAGCTCCTCAGCTATATAGTTCCCCACACAGAGCAGCATTAAGTAAAAAAAGATTGATGCAGTCCTTTGACAAAAACTTAGACGAAAATAGATCATGTTACTAAAACTAAAAAAAGTGTCCTTTAGCAGGTTTAAAACCCTCCCACAGAAAGAAAACAACAAAAAAGAAATCCAGAAATAAAAATGGCTAATGAATCCTTGATAATTCTAAATTACAAAGAGCCCTCTAAATTACAACATTACCCTCCTGCCAGCCCTCCAGCACCAATATTTTTTTCTTGAGGACAATAAGCACAGGAACAAATATACCTCACCTGAAGGAAGAATTATAAATAGTACAAATTCTGATATCTCTGAAGCTTTTTCTCTTAAAACCCTCAGTGCTGGATTTCAGACCTTGATTTCACGTCATATCTCTTTTTACGAACTAGTTGGATGAAAAACTTTTGCTCTATTTTTTATAGTTTTATTTACAATTCATTGCCTCATGTGCAATAAGAGATTGTACTCATGTCTTCATTCCTGTTCTCTTTGCCATAAGCAATCAAGCAATCACATTTTCCCCCTCAGGGGTAAGGAGAGGGTTTTTTTAGGTTTCTGATCATCTGTACTCCACCCAATCCTTCCGTTTTGTAACATACTTTACAGAGGTATGTTGGATGCACATAGCATACAGTACTTCTGAGAAGACTTTATCATTGATCAGCACAAGAGAACTATAATAATCTCCATACTATTCTTAGTTTTACTCCTGTGTTTAATATCACTTACATCTTAGTTATGAAAGGAACAGAAATGTTCACTGGGCTTTTGAAAATTTTTGCTAAGGTTTTTCTCCTGAGCAGATTTATCTAATTTGAAACCCAGACGCATAAGTAATTCAGATTTTCTTCTTGAATGCACACTACTTTGCATTAATCCATGTCAGTCTGCCTCTGTGGTTATTCATCTACCATAATTTGGGTTTTTTGGGCTTTACAAACCTAACAGTTCATTTTACAGATAGTCTGATATACAACTGTTACCTAAATACAACTCATGGGTACACTGACACTCTAGGTCCCAGTAAGCTGAAATGCCTTCTGCACCTAATTAGCTTTACTCAAAGCTTCTTGGAAAATTCTAAATAATATTATCCATGATTTCTTCATCCACTGCTTTAATGATACAAATAATTCTATCAGATCAATTATCTTTGAGAAAAGAACGTGTGGTTTGAATTCTGCTCTATGATGTATATGGGGTTTTGTTTGACTGTTTTAAACAATCCAAAAACATCCCTAAAAATGCCTAAAGTTTTGCAATGCTCAGAAATAGGGATTTTTATTTTTATAGCAACAGTCTTATTTTCACTACTGGAGCATTTAATGTCGTCTTAACCTGTTCTCTTCTCATACTCAGGATATTCCCTTTTTGGTCCTGTTGACTTCCGCTGCTTAGGAGTTTATTTTAATACCTTAAGTGTGAGATCTCATCTTTATTTCTGGCTAAGATCATTTCCAAGATAAAGTTTCTGCAGTATCCGGTCCCACAAAGGCTGCTACACAAGACAACTTCGCCTTGCAAATCAACCCTATCTTCCTGAATTCTTTCCTTTTGAGGCAAGGACCAACTAACTCTTTTGCTGGATTTGAGCATTCTAACCATTAAAGGTTATTTCCTTGAATATTTCTGTACTCTCAGCTACTTAGGCCAGCTTAGTTGTTTCTGTTTATGTACTTTTTAATGTAGATTAATATTAACTGTAGCAACTAAAAATAGCATATATACAAATTGTGTAAGAACCACATAACCTCTTAAATCTTTTCACTAACTCAGAGCAGATCACTACGTACTTTTCAAAAAGAGATATGCACACAAACTGAAATCTGGGATCCTCTTCTTAAGTAGCATGGATGTCACTTTTAAAGACGTAGATTCCTTGGTTATGGTGACATTAGGACTTTTTAACTAGTAGTTTTATCTTTCATTTGGACAACTCCATGCTAAATTTTTCTGTCTTTTTGCTTAGCAAGTACTTTTCAGAAAAGCAGACAGGATCCAAGGTTATTTCATAACCAGCTTTGGTAGTGGAGGTTCATCAGTCTTCAGTGAACTGATACTTTAAAATAGATACAGAATGGGAAAAACTTACTGGAGCATTCTTCTACATCCTTCATGTGATTTATATGAATATTTTTTATATACAGACAAGAGAAAAACAAACAAAAATCCACACAATCCAAACAAAACCACACAAACTTTCATGCCCACAAGCAACACTCCAGGTATGAAATAAAAGCCATAACCTTTAAGATAAATATAAGTTTTAAATAATTGTTCAGGAGGTCAGTTAATCGCACTAGCTAGTTAGTTTATGCAGCCATACCACACATAGCACTTTGACACATTCCTTTCCTGAGGAGAGTACTGGTGACATGTTTCCTCACCAGCCTAAATGCCTGACTACACAGCATATCTTGCCTTCGTCCTTAGATTATCATGGCTACAACATTATTGGTAACATCTACCTTCTAAAGAAGATAATTTTAAAACCTCTAGGAAAATTCAATGACAATGAAATTTACACATTTTGGCATGCCTTTATTTGATTTGCCTCTATCAAAACGCTAGGGAAAACCACCCCAAACATATAGGCACACTCATTTTAGCAAGCAAAAGAACCATCACCCTTTAGAAACTCAGTTATATAAAGGTAAAAATTCTCAAGTGCCAGAGCATAGGCAGGGCCAGCCAGCAATGATAGTTATCTGATTTCCTGAGATTGGGCATGCTCAATATGCATGCTTCAGTTATCCCAAGCTCTTCAACTGACTGTTCAGACTGGCAAAATTCTATGCCTCCTCAAAGGCCAGCACCAGAAAGTCATAATTTCTCAGAACTGTCAAGAACCAGGTCCCTGTCCAAGGCACACGTATTACAACTATGGAAACTCAGCGCAAGGTGGGTCTTGAGGACAGTCCTGTCCTGTGTAGGGACATTAGCCAAGTGGTAATCTGTTTTCACTGGCAAAGAACATCAGCTTGATGTCCCGTGATTGAGACAAAGTCAGTTTAAGAATTTCCAGGGTTTTTCTTCTTACTGTTCCCTTTCCTCCTTCAGTTTTTCCCATTTAAGTTTGCATGAAACAAGAAATAAAGAAGGATCCAGAAGTAGGAAATAATTTTTCTATTTATTGGTAACAAAAAGAGATGCAAGAAATTAAAATTGTCAAAGACGTCCTTATGGCAAACTCATGTTCCCTGAACTCCCTAGCAACACACAAAAGCTGGTGTATCTTAAGATTTATTCCATATTTATGGCTAGGAATTGATTTTGAACTAAATACTACAGGATTTTAAACTGCAGAAGCCAATAAAGATACTTCAATTTTTCTCTAGCTAATAAGAGTAAACAGCAAATTATTTCTTTGCTTACATAAATAATGACATAGTGATCTTACAACTGAACTGTCTGTAAATTCTTATATGCACTAGTTCCATTAGACCTTGAAAGGAAAAACATCTCTTTGATTAATACCAGCTAAAGTGAAATGGAGATTGAAAGGCTTGATTTCATTAATAATTTTAAAACTTTCACTTGAAGTCATTATCCATAAAACATTATCTTAAAAAAAGTTCAAGATTTGTATTTAGGCTTCAAAAAGCAGGCACTGGTGAGAGAAGAACGTACCCCTGTCTGATATCACCAGAAAAAGAAACAAACAGAAATCCAAAAACCATGTTTGTATCCTTCTCATGCTGAGAATACAGAGCGTAATCCTGAGACGTGCTGAAGATTCTACCTTTCAGCAATCAAAATTCCACTAGTTTCAAGTCACTGGGATCACAAATATTAAGCAAGGACTTCAAAGTCCTTTGCTTTGCTGGATAGGGGTCAGAGTACTCAACAAAAGTTACAAAGCCCTCCCATGAGTTACTCTCCCTGTCTGGCACAGGAGCTACCCACAGATCTCTAAGCACTACCGAGAGAGCATTACCCTCCACACCTCCCCATCAAATACACACATACACTCCTCCTCTGTGAGATTACTTTTGAACTGGTTTGCTATGGATTGCTACTCTAGTACCTTTTATTCTCCTGGCTGAAATGGAAAAACAAATGTAACTACTAGTACACCTAATATTACATATAGGAATGCAAAAATTCAGAGTTCAACTCAGCATTTTAATTCAGAAAGCTTCCTGGTTTACTGCTGAAATTCAAATGAATTACAGGTTTGCTTCTCTTATTTGCTTTCCATGTAGTTTCTTTCATATTAAGTAGGATATATATTGCTCACCAGAAGGATAACAACAGATCCTGACAAACAGAAGTAAAAGTGCATAGCAGTAAACAATTTTATTTCTCTGCATCAGTTTAAACTTTTACATCATCACACTGCAAAGCACACTAAGCTTTAGCACCAGACGGTAAGATTTTGGATCTCCTTGCAGGCTGATACAAAAAAAGAGATGCCATAGTGCAAACAGAACACTATGGGTTACCAGTATACCCCACCATTAATAACATTTGTGTGTACCTTTATTATAGATAGCTGAAGTGTGGAAAAAAGTGGTTCAGGCATGACAATTTTATGGATAGTCAGGAAAAATAAGTGTAGTTTTGAACTCTTGCAAAAAGACTCGCTTTGTATATCCTTGAGCAAATCAGTCTTCCAGTGCCTCTTTTTTTTTTTTTTCAGGGGTA